GGGTTCTCTGTGTTAGCCAGGATGGTCTCGATCTCCTGACACTGTGATCCGCCCTCCCAAAGTGCTGGGATTACAGGTGTGACCCACCGTGCCTGGCTTGTGGCCTTTTCTCAAAAGAAAGTATAATGGGTCTCGATTTTTGCCACTGCGTCTGAACTACATGGTTGCGTGCTTTTGTTCTTTCACATCGACCTCCACTGTCCTTGTAGAAAATCAGATGTTTCTGGGAAAGTTCTCATAAGTTTTGGTTATAATATGCAATCAAATGAACTTCTATTAAATCAGTTTTTATAATTATTACCCAGTGTCATGCACACACAAAAATATCTGCATATGCAGGACACAAAATTTAAGGTTATTAGGATTAGACATTTGTCCAGGTATTGAAATTTTTCTGTCAACAAGACCCTCTGCTGGCCAGTGTCTGTAGGAGCCTACCACTTCTTGAATACGGTCAAAAGCCTTTCAGAGGCTATGGAGTAGCTGTCTGAATTCCCAAAAAGTGGATTCTGGCTGAATGCCATCACCAGCTGGGTGTGGTTCTATATTTTGCTGTATGTCTTTAGCAACTGTTGACCTCTCTAGTTGTTTTTTTTTTCTTTAAATAAAAACACTAATATATTCAAATTTTGTAAGTAGATAACTATAATCATTTAAAACTTCCCATAAAGCATTTTAAAAAATCAGATAAAGAGAGACCCAGTGACACACCCATCTCAGCAATTCTGCAGAATGTGATTTTCATGTATCACAACTGCTCATTGGGGAATAAGGTCTTGGAATAGATAATGTTGCTAGGTACCAAATTCTTAGCCCTTGAAATACCAAAGGCATGAAAAATTTTGGCCATTTAAAAGAAAAATAAAAATTCTCAAGAAGAGGCTTCTTTTCCTTTTCTAACTTAAACACCCTATTCTTTATTTATTTTTAATTTTGTTTTTTTAGACAGAGTCTCTCTCTGTCACCCAGGCTGTAGTGCAGTGACACAATCCCAGCTCCTTCCGCGTCCCAGGTTCAAGTAACTCCCGTCTCAGCCTCCCAAGTAGCTGGGATTACAGGTGCGTGCCACCATACCCAGCTAATTTTTGTATTTTTAGTAGAGACGGGGTTTCGTCATGTTGCCCAGGCTGGTCTTGAACTCCAGAACTCAAGTGATCTGCCTGTCTCAACCTTCCAAAATACTGGGATTACAGGCATGAGCCACGGCGCTCAGCCAACATCCTATCTTTAAATGACATAACTCTGAACCCAACCCTGGCAGGAAATAACTGATGGGGGCCCTAAGCAGTCATCTGTGCCTAGTTTCTTACTTAGGCAATGTAATGTGCGACACACTAGATGAAATATCATATTGGGAAGATATATTATCATCATCGTTGTCATCATCTATCGACCCAGAATAAGATACTGTTTAAAAATAATAGGCAGGGCATGATGGTTCACCTGAAATCCCAGCACTCTGGGAGGCTGAGGTGGGTGGACCACTTGAGGCAAGGTGTTCGAGACCAGCCTGGCCAACATTGTGAAACCCTGTCTCTACTAAAAATACAGAAATTAGGTGGGCGTTGGTGGCAGGCGCCTGTAATCCCAGCTACTCAGGAGGCTAAGGCAGGAGAATTGCTTGAGCTAGGGACGCGGAGGCTGCAGTGAGCCAACATTACTCCACTGCACTCCAGCTGGGGGAACAGAGTGAGACTCTGTCTCAAAACAAAAACAAACAAAAAAAAAACCACTGTATACGTCTCTGTGAGTGTGTGTGTGTGTGTGTGTGTGTGTGTGTGTCTGTAATACAATAGCATATATATCACACTCATAGCTATTTTATTCCTTTAAGTTCTCAGATTGGGCCAGCCTAAGTTGTTCGTGTTCTTACCTACTGCAGTGACAAGCTACTATGTTTCTATTTATGTTTTTATTTCTATTTCTTGGCCTTCATTTTTAATTCTTTTCCTCTTTTCTTCTAGAAAGCCAACTTTCTAGACCTTGACGGAGCGTTCACTTACAGGATTCTCACCGTACTTAACAAATCCAAATGCCTGTCTCCACTTCTGTTCTTCATTTTGGCATATGAAAGCCCGAGTGACTAACTCTAAGACACGTGAATAGAAAGCTGGGCGTGCAGTTCTGCTGTGGGAACCTGCTGGAGCACTGCCGAGCTCTCTGGACTTGTAGTGCTTCCATTCCCAAATATAAATGAACATCTTGAGGGATCCTTAAGATAACTTGGCAGCATGCAGAATTTTGTGAGTTTTAAGATTGCTGGTTCTTGTCTAAAACATCAATAAGAGTTACAGTTTCCTTCAGCAAGTGTCAAATATATATTTATATCATGGCAACTCATATTTATAGCAAAAGAGAAAAGATTCCTTTCAAAGAGACTTAATATATGTAGCCCTCCTGCTCACAAATCCAATTTATACTTCGTGGACACAGACTGTCATGTCTAGCAGTATTTCAAAGGGGAAGGAAGAGAAACTTAGCCGACACTTCACAAACGAAGCCCAAAACAAAGTGAAAATGGTTTTTCCAAATCTCTAGGCATAAGGCTGTCCAAATGGCCCAAAGATATAGTACGACAGAATGAGGTTACAAGGAAGTTTGGAGAACAGAAATAAAAATACACCCAACCAACAATGGATGTTATGGAAAATGGACGGAGAAGCCAGTGAAATAGAGAAACAGTCTGTTTCCATGCATCTCAGCTTTACAGCCATGCAGGCGTCCTCAGCTCAGTGAGACCCAGGCCTGGGTCACATGCTGCAGAAACAAGGACCAGGAAGTGGACTTGGGCAATGGAAGGCTGGGCTTCTGGCTACCAGAGTGGCAAAGGGCCCCCCGCCTGCCACTGAGATGGACATCCTACCTCAGGTCAAGCTGCCAGGAAACATCCATAAAAAAAAAAAACTCCCTCAAGTTCCAAGACAAGCTGCAAGATAAAAGTCAATGAAGGGCCACAGGAAACCCTGGAAGACATTGACTTATCTCAAAGGTATCTTGGATGTGTTTCTCAATGGCCATAAGTTCCCCCATTCTGAAATTTCTAAGTGCTGGAGAGATCTTCCATGTAAATGGATACATGTTTTTCAAAATAACTAAGAAGTATGGAGAATCGGCATTTAGCCAATTACACTAGGCTTTTAAAGCAATATCTTTAAGGTACAAAATCTCCATGATGTATCTTTTTTTTTTAAACGGCTCCCTGTGGAGCAGGACTGCCCAATAGGCAGCTGTGCCCAAAGCAGCCAATGCTTTATCTTTCAGGTTGGCAAAATGCTCATATGATTGAAAAACTAAGTATATACTGTTACGTACATTACACTTTGCATCTGAAGCATAAAGGCTATTTCATATGAACAAACTATAGGCACATGTCTAGTAAAAAGAAAAGGGGAGAGAGACTATTGGATGTTTTTAAGTTCAGGGTCCCTAATTCCTTTTGGCTTAATGCTTTTTATCATTTAAACACAGAATATCTGATGATGTCAAAAACTTCAAATGCGGACTGAAAACAGAAAAGAATGTATATCTACATTTTTAATAAAGCACCATTTAGGAACATAGGGTGATATAATTTTTAGGACAATTTAATATTTCTATGGAAAAGTAAATAGCTCTTTATTTTGTGATCTAAATGACTGAGGATTATTCTTGGTCTAAGCCTCAATAAGAATGCAATTTTCTGGCCAAAAGTGAAACATAAAAATGTGCTTTAAAAATGATCTTTATGCATATTTATACTGAAACACGTGGTCCTCATGTGAAGGAATGCTCCTGAGATGGAGAGGGCCTGGGGTCTTGTCTGGGCACTGCCACGTCCTAGTGGTGAGCCCCTGGAAAGTTACTTGGCGAGGGCCCCTGCTACTTACTTGGTCTCCTCACTCAGCCCATTTTTGTTTTGTTTTTTTTTTTTTGAGACGGAGTCTCGCTCTGTCGCCAGGCTGGAGTGCAGTGGTGCAATCTCAGCTCACTGCAACCTCCACTTCCCGGGTTCAAGTGATTCTCCTGCCTCAGCTTCCTGAGTAGCTGGGACTACAGGTGCCGCCACCATGCCCAGCTAATTTTTGTATTTTTAGTAAAAACGAGGTTTCACCATGTTGACCAGGATGGTCTCGATCTCTTGGCCTCATGATCCACCCACCTCGGCCTCCCAAAGTGCTGGGATTATAGGCATGAGCCACCATGCCCGGCCTAATTTTTGTATTTCTACTAGAGGCGGGGTTTCACCATGTTGGCCAAGATGGGCTCCATCTCTTAACCTCAAGATCCGCCTGCCTCAGCCTCCCAAAGTGCTGGGATTACAGGTGTGAGCCACCGCGCCCGGCCCACTCAGCCCATTTCTTAAGGATACTATGAAAAACGAACAGAATGGTGCCATCAAAAATGATTTAAGGCCAGGTATGGTGGATCACGCCTGTAATCCCAGCACTTTTGGAGGCTAATGTGGGCGGATCACTTGAGGTCAGATGTTTGAGACCAGCCTGGCTAACATGGTGAAACCCCATCTCTACTAAAAATACAAAAAATTAGCTTGGTGTAATGGTATACACCTGTGATCTCAGCTACTCAGGAGGCTGAGGCAAGAGAATCACTTGAAGCTGGGAGAGGACACTGCAGTGAGCTGAGATTGCACCGCTGCACTCCAGCCTGGGTAACAGAATGAGACTCTGTCTCCAAAAAAAAAAAAAAAAAAAACAATTTAAGAGCACCATGCTGACCAAGGTGGGCCTGCTGCACACCAACACACTTCACCTCGTGAGGTAGAAGTCTCACTGTTCCTGATTTATGGAGGAGGCAAGTGACACCCAACAGGATAAACAAACAACCCAAGGTCACACAGTTAGCAAATGATGGAGATCATATTTAAACCCAAGATTCCAATGTCCATGGGCTTTTCAACTCTCCACGTGGCTACTCCTGGACATGAGATAGTGTTCGTCATTGAGCAGTCACTGACACTTTGTGCTGTGTTATTGACCTGTGATACTTTTCTTTCTACAAAACGTGTCTCTATAAAAGTTGAAATATATATTAACCAAGTGAGGGAGTTTATATTTTATTAAATCAAAAATGTATTTTTTCTTTAATACCAGAAATAACCAAAATCTTTTTTTCTTTTCTTTCTTTTCTTTTTTTTTGAGACAGGGTTTTGCTCTGTCACCCAGGCTGGAGTGCAGTGGCTCAATCTCGGCTCAGTGCAACCTTCACCTGCTGGGTTCAAGTCATTCTCCTGCTTTAGTCTCTGAGTATCTGGGACTGCAGGCATGTACCACCACACACAGCTATTTTTTTTTTTTTTTTTTTTTTTTTTTTTTTTTTTTTTTTTTTTTTTTTTTTTTTTTTTTTTTTTTTTTTTTTGTAGAGACGGGGTTTCACCATGTTGCCCAAGCTGTCTTGAACTCCTGGGCTCAAGCAATCTGCCCACCTCAGCAGAAATAACCAAAATAATTTGGTTAATGACTGCTATATTAAAGTCTCTTTAAAATATGCAATTGAAGGGTTTTTTTTTTTTTTTTTTTAAAAAGCCATAATTTCTTTATGATTTTATAAACATTCTCTAAAGTATCATCTTGACATTTTATAAGTAAAATTTTTCCCCCAAAATACTAATTAGCACTCATAATTTAAAATAATCTGTTGGCCAGACATGGTAGCTCATGCCTGTAATCCCAGTACTTTAGAAGGCCAAGGCGGGTGGAACACCTGAGGCTAGGAGTTCGAGACCAGCCTGGCCAACATAGCAAAACCCGGTCTCTACCAAAAATACAAAAATTAGCTGGGTGTGGTGGCTCACACCTGTAATCCCAGCTACTCGGGAGGCTGAGGCAGGAGAATCACTTAAGCCTGGGAGGGAGAGGTTGCAGTCAGCCAAGTCTGCACCACTGTACTCCAGCCTGGGTGACAGCGAGACTCTGTCTCAGAAAAACAAACAAACAAATAAATAAATAAAATAAAGCAAAATAATCTGTTAAGAGTTTTAGAAAGTGTTGCGCCTATCAAAAAATTTGCTAATGGCAAATGGCATCTGTGTCTTCGATAAGCATGATTGCTTCAATAAGCAATATTATTTTCAAAGCATAGAAAATGCAGAACTAGCAAATTTATAAAATCACTGCATACTGGTAAGTACAGTCCATGTGCCTTTTAGGACTCAGCTGCTCAACAACCAAGTGAACAAAAAGGAAAAGCTTGCGTAGAGTGAGAAGGAAAATTCAGTAAACCAGAACAAGCTCCTCAATGGAAGGGTCAGGTGTGACATGCGGAGCAGCCCATGGCTGGAGTCCTTTAGGACTATTTGAAGACCTGTGATAACGTCTGTGCTTGCCTCCTCCTCCCTCCTTCAGCTAGGATTGTTGGTTAATTTGGTTCAAATCAAGTTAGCACCGTTCTGGGAGCTCCTACTTAATTTTAAATTATGGCCCTTTCATAGCTTCTTTGGGGCTCTGGGCTTCCCCAGTGTGGAGAGTTCCTGCTGAGGACGGCTGCAGAAGCATCACCGACAACAATGAAAACAAAGGGACGGGGCAGAAACATGGGGCAGGAACAGAAAACAGAAGGCAAAGCCTTTCTTCTCCATCACTGGGAGTTAGGACAAATCCAAAGACAATTCAGCTCAAAGAGAAACATTGTTGTTGCCATAGATCTTTTAATGCTGCTCAAACATGTTAATATGGTTATAGTTTATCACTGGTAAGACAACTTTTGAATGTTTGTTACTATACACTATTGTGTTTTGTTGAGACATGTTGTGTATTGAACCCAGGAAAATATTCTAATTATATATATTATATTTTGTTTTGACACATCCAAAAACAAAATAATAATATATATATATATATATATATATATTTTTTTTTTTTTCTTCTTTCAAAGTAGTGGATAATAAATCTTAGGGTCTTAAACATACTTCCTGTTTCTTCATCTAGAGCCCTTAGAAGTGACATATTTCTCCCAAGGAGAGATGCTATGCCCATTCTAAGACAATTGTTGGGTATAGTCATGACACACGCAGGCATGCTGAGAGCTCAAAAGCTCGGCACTAACTCTTGGAGATACACGCCTTATTAGCCTTCCCAGGGTGCTAATAAATCTCCACTATGCAGGGTGCTTCCTGGAGAAACCTGCCTCCTTACCTTTGATATGGGGAATGAAGTGGTGTCGGAAAGGGGGGTTGGGGCGGGAGTCGCTGTGGGTGGGGCTGAGGCTGCTGGTGCGCAGGTAGGACAACCTCTGCACACCAGGAGACAAAAGCTCTGTGCAGCAAGGAGTCAGGGGCAGGGCACGGGGGAAACAGAAAAGAAGAACAGAAATTAACACAGGAGCAGGAAAGCGTCATCGTTCCAAGGGAAAACAAAATCAAGAACATTAATCAGGAGGCTGAAAGGGGAGGAAGGAGAGAGGGTTAAGAATGCACCTGCTAAGGCTGAGGCAAAGTGGGGGAGAGTTTACAAAGAGGCTCAGGCGGGTACAGAGTCACTCTCTGAGAATAAATGGCTTTGGTGAGAAGAAATGGTCACCCGGATGGTCTCTGTCCAGCCAGTAGCAGGCACGTCATTTAAACTCAACATCGGCTGTGTGTAAAACGCACCTGACAAAACAGAACCCTCTGAAATGCTAATTTTCAAAAATGACGGTCGTTGTATTTATATGTAAGGATCAGGTTTCTTTTTTTTTTTTTTTTTTTTTTCCTTAACCTACAAACTTATCCCACTGGAAGTTTAATTTTATTTTGCCCACATAGAAGGAAAATCTATCTGTGTTCCCCGGGTGGCAAGGAGGTATCTCTGGTCCTGGGAACTCCAGCAGGAGGACTGGAGGCTGGAAACTCAGTTATCTCCGGAAGAATGGACCTTTCAAATCCAACCTAGACCGAGGTGGGGTTAAATCATCATCTGTCATCTAGAACCTGAGGAGTGGACACTTTGGGGTGTTCTATGTGGATCACAGGTATGCTATCAGAATCCCTTCACCTGCACTTTAGAAGGGCAGACCTCAAAATAATAACTCTAAAGCCTAAAAGGTGGCATTAGGCATACATGTCATATATTGTGAAAGGAGAGAAGGAGAAAGTTCTAAAGTCTATTGGCAACAGAACCATGATTGGAACAGATGAAAACTTTCTCAATAAGGACAAGAGCTTTTAGGGGAAGAAGTGTTGACTGACCAGTCCCCTCACTATTCAGGGGTCTCTGGAACAATGATGCCCCCATAACTCCATTCCACTCTGATAACTCCATGGCTGGGGTCTCAGTGACCTCAGCACATGTACATGAGCAGAGTGGCAGCATAAAGGATTTCTTATTACCCAGGTGTACAAGCACTTAAATCGACATCCATGTCCTGGGCACCAGTAAAATGAATACAGTGGCCCATGAAATAAGGGAAATAAATTTTCTGGAAAATATTCATTTAATATAATTCAATAAATAGCATAAATACTTATCAGCATAGAGAAAATTACACATTATCAAAAGATCAAATTGTTTGAATTCTCTACAAGCATTAAATCTAGAGTCTTAGAAGATTGCAGCCTTTTATCATCCTGTTAATTCCTTTGGTTTTATTTCTTGTACAATTTATTTTAAAAAGGCAGCATATGGGTTTGTTCTCATCTACTCGTCCAGAAGCAAGAAGCTTAACATGAACGAAATCTTCGTAGATGCCCATCATCACCATTAAGTTTTATTAGAGGCCAGAATCTTCCTTGTGAATCTGTTTCTCAGGGAATCTTGGGTCTGCACTGGGGTCTCCATTCTTCTCCTACCGGAGACACCCACTAGTAGCCACAGAGACTAAATTCTCTGCAGATGAAGGTCCACTAAAATCTGTTTCAATGTGACACTCTACTGTGGTAATGCCTAATGATTTTATGTTTTCCAAGTCTGATGGAAAATCTTAGGGTGGGAAGTGATTTTGTTTTCTAAGTCTGATTGAAAATCTTAGGGTTGGAAGGGATCTTAAAACTGATCAAGAAGAGCCCTAGGTACTCTTTCCAGAAAGTGCTTCACCAAGCATGCTTAGTAGCACCATGTACCTAGATAAGGGAAACAGAAAACATCTGTTAAAAATGGTGAATACTGAATTTTTTAGAAGAGGTTGGTATGCCTAAAAAGCACATCAAAGTATTTTCTTTGGGAGATCTCCATTTTAAGTCTCAAAGTGAAGAGATTTTCGTTAACTCCAAAAAATATATATATTTTTTAAAAAAAACCTTGCTTCCAGTAGTTCGCTGTCAAAATATTATTATTTAATAAATCAAAATGAACACAGCCATAGAATGACTGACATTTCTAGAAAAGATATAGCACAAAATATAGTTAGATACCAGTTTTCATTTTGCTCTGGGAGAGGGGCAGAAATGTTTAGGAGTCGATTTTTCAAGGTGCTATCAATGGTAGAGGAAGAAAAATCACAGAAATACAGTTTGTTCTATAGAGTGAATTCCAGGAACAGTCACCCTTACCAGGTCTGTGGAAATGCTGGGGAGAGCGTGACGTGGTTGGAGTGTAACTGTGGCGGCTGTACACAGGGGAGCTGATGGAGCCCTGGCTAGTGGACCGATGGATCATCCGATCCCGAACGTCCTGGTACCCCTGGAAACAAAGTTCAACACGTTCAGACTCTCACCATTCCTCAGTAGGAACCAAGTTTCACAAACACTGCCAAGGGACTATCATGTCTACTTGTTTATATATATTTGATTAACATATGCGCTTATTTTCATGTGCAAATTGTGCAGATATTTTATATGCAAATGAGCATTCTGTGGCTAATACATTTTGTTCAAAATCTGCAGTACTTGGGCTTATTACAAAATTTTAAGAGCCAGGTGTGGCGGCTCACACCTGTAATCCCAGCACTTTTGGAGGCCAAGGTGGAGGGATGGCTTGAAGCCAGGAGTTTGAGAACAGCCTGGGCAACACAGCGAGACCTTGTCTTTACAAAAAAAAAATGTAAAAAATTAGCCAGGTATGGTGGCACATGCCTGCAGTCCCAGTTACTCAGGAGTTCGAGGCTGCAGTGAGCTGTGATTGTGCCAGGGTACTGCAGCCCGGATGACAGAGTGAGACCCTGTTTCTTCAACAAAATTTTTTTAAGATGAAAAACTATAAACCTCCATAGAGACAGAGCTCTGGGACAAGAGATTAATAATTCCAATGACCACGTTGATATTGTAGTTTTCAGTTTCGTAAACTGTGTCCACATACCTACCAGATCTGCATAACAAGAAAAGGTAGACCACGTGGTATCACCTCCCTCCCCCACTAATGCAGAAACAAGGTTCCAGGCAGGTAAGAGTTCTCTGTGTAGGTGTGTAGCTGGTATGGGCAGAGCCTGCTTTGGAACCGGCCTCCTGATTCTAATCTCATCCTTTGCTCAGAACACCAAGCAACCTATACTGCCTGCAACATTGATCTGATGGCATTTTAAGTCGATTCTCCTGAAGAACAAGTTGAGGGTTGCCATAAAGTCAGTATTTTACTTCTTACCTTGGGAAACATTCCAAGAAAATAACTTCAAATGCCCTTTAAAAGGAGGAATAATTTATTCAAAGGCTTTTATAGTGCCACTGTTCATAAAGGCAAAAGTCTGTGTTACATGTTCAACAAACTGGGGCACAGTTAAGAAATTATGACATACGGGCCAGGCATGGTGGCTCATGCCTATAATCCCACCACTTTGGGAGGTCAAGGCAGCAGACCTGAGGTCAGGAGTTCAAGGGCAGCCTGGCCAACATGGCAAAACCTTGTCTCTACTAAAAATACAAAAATTAGCTGGGCGTGATGGTGCACAAGCATGCTTGGGAGGCTGAGACAGGAGAATCACTCGAACCCTGGCAGCGGAGGTTACACTGAGCCGAGATTGCGCCACTGTACTCCAGCCTGGGGGACAGAGCGAGACTCTGTCTCAAACAAAAGAAAAGGAAATGATGACATAAAAATTCAATGGAATATCACAGCACCACTAAAATGCCACCTGTCTCCAAATATAGAAAAGGATATATTAGGTAATAAGTACCAAAAAATCACAGGCACACAAACACAATATAAAACTGAACAGTTGAAATAGTACAAAGAATATTTTACATTTTAAGAATCTGTTGTCCTATGAAATTTCTATTAGCAGAATAAAAGTAAAAAGTTTCAAAGAATACATAAATACTGACTAAATGAAAACCTCAGTAACCACAGCTTTGTGGAATTTGAGAGCAAATGGCAAAGAAACTTTGGCTTGGTCTATAAATTAAAGAACAATGAAACCAGAAGCCCCCAAATTAGGTGCTTCGACCTTGCACAGTTGGTCAATAGAAATTAATTCTTCATAATTTCAGTGCAAATTATTAATATGGATAGAAATAATTCATAGCACTGTCATAAATCATGAAAATACTATGGCATTTTTACTCCTTTGAATGATACATATTTCCTAAAAGCAGTCCGGTTTTATAACATCCAGAAAGTTTCTTGGTTTTAAGATCAGATGGTTGATTTCAGACTAAACGGAGTAACCTCCCATCAAGATGGCTCTGTGTACAGAAATACGCCATGACTGCTGTTGGCCATTTTAGTACATTGAGGTTCAAAACAATTCATTATAGATGAGGGCAAAGAGCCCCACATTGGGACAAGTGACTTAGGTCCCTGTAGACACTTTCCTTCCACTTACAGGACAGACAGATTAGTGTCAGGCCATTTCTACTCTTCGGTCTCCATTTTAAGAGAAGTATGCTGCTGTGTCTGAGCCTCCTCTTCCATGGAGATAATCCCCACAGTCAGCATAATCCCACAAGCAGTTTTTCTGTTCTTTTGTATGTTATATACTTTTTCAAAAGTCCCAGTCCAGGGAAGGGCCAAACAGTCTCAAATTCTACCCGTTAAAATGGTAAAAAGAAATGGTACTTACTTCTGCCGATGGAGTAGGAGACAAAGTCCTTGGAGACTAGAAAAATAAAAGAAAATGTAAAGTCACAATGTTTGTTAATGTTTTGCCAGTTTGTTTGATTGTTTGTTTGTTGTGAGACGGAGTTGTGTTCTGTCCCCCAGGCTGGAGTGCAGTGGTGCTATCTCGGCTCACTGCAATCTCCGCCTCCGAGGTTCAAGTGATTCTCCTGTCTCAGCCTCCCGAGTAGCTGGGACTACAGGTGTGTGCCACCACGCTAGGCTAATTTTCTGTATTTCTAGTAGAGATGGGGCCTCACCATGTTAGCCAGGATGGTCTCGATCTCCTGACCTCGTAATCTGCCTGCCTTGGCCTTCCAAAGTGCTGGGATTATAGGCATGAGCCACTCAGTTTTAATTAGAGTTGCTTATCAGAGTCAGCTGGAAACATTAGCCAGTATATACCTGCTGGCATCCCTCCCCATCTCCCTGTCTTGTGATCAGGCACAGGTGTATCTGTTGTGAGGCTCAGACAGGTAGACTCTGACAAAGCTCCTGGGAGACTCTGGTGCACATCTCTGCCTAAGAACCATGGTTTGAATGGATATGACTGTGATACTTTAGGTGATTAAGCTAGACAAATTGGAACCATTTCCCTTACATGTTCAAACTATGCTCATTTTACTAGGATGAGTTACAGCATCTACCGAAACATAGGATCTCGTACACATGGCTGTACAAGATGTGGTTGACTAAATTACAACCACAGCGATCACCATAATATAGTTCGATTACAAACACCGGACTCTGGTGACCAGGCATGAGGCAACCTGCCTTGGCTGCCTTGCCAATCTCACTGCCATTCACCGCTGGCTTCCATCCTCCTACGCACACAGGCTTCCTTGGGGCCATCAGCATCCCAAGCCTTCTCTCACCTCAGGGCCTTTGCACATGCTGTCTCTTCTGCTGCCAGTGCCTTTCACCCAGACACCTGCAGGGCTTACTCCCCATCTATGCGGACGTCTCTGCTCAAACCCACTGTCACACAGCACCTCCGAGCATTCCATGGAGAGGAGCAATCTAGCCCCTGGCATCCTTTCTCTTTACTCTGCCTCATTTTTCCTCAGAGCCCTACAACTCAGTAAAATTATATTACATATCTCTTTCCTTCCTGTCTATCTATGATGCCACAGCTGCATGAGGGCAAGGACTGTTTGTTTACAACTACATATTCCCAGTGATGACAGCAGCTCCTGGGATATAGTAGGTGCTCAACAAGTATTTTCCAAATGAATAAAATGTTTACAATTAAGAGGCAAAAAGCTTTCAAATAGAAATGAAATGCAGACAAAGCTTTGGAGAACACAGCCAGCCACAGGTGGACTTCTTAGTTATAGAATTTGCCCTTTTCCCCACATCCCGTAGTAAGTGGGTGAACTTCCTATATTCCAAGCTTTCACAGACTCCACGGTCTCCTCTGCAGCTACAGCCTGTCTCTAGGGGGTCTCAGCTGAGTGAAGGCTGGTCTCAAGGTCAGGGCGCAGGTCTATATCTGCACTGACAATAGTGCCCTGGGGGCACCAATGGCTGCACAGAACTAAGCCAACTCCTGCAGTGTTTCTTAAATGGCAATATGTATAAAGGCCAGGTGTGGTGGCTCATGCCTGTAATCCCAGCACTTTGGGAGACCGAGGTGGGTGGATTGGTTGAGGTCAGGAGTTTACCACCAGCCTGGCTAACATGGTAAAATCCCACCTGTACTAAAAATACAAAAATTAGCCCTGTATGGTGGCACATGCCTGTAGTCCCAGCTACTAGGGAAGCTGAGGCAGGAGAATCACTTGAGCCTGGGAGGCAGAGGCTGCAGTGAGACAAGATCACACCACTGCACTCCAGCCTAGGTGACAGAGCAATACTCCATCTCAAAAAAAAAAAAAAAAAATGGGCGGTACGTATGTGAAGTCTATAAAAGAAGTATGTTAAAAAACTAATGGAATAAATAATAGAACAGCTTGTAAAGTTCTCTCAGTTGCAAGATGTGAGTATTGGGAAAGAGGTCACTAATATATATGATTTCTGATCCAAGGGGTACCCTCTATTCATAGGGAAAACCATGGGACGTCATTCCACGTTATGATATTAAGGGTGTTGATTACGAGAGTAGCCAGCGTTTTTCTTAAGTACTTATTATATGCACAGTACTGTTCTAATGTAAATAGCTTCACTTAATCTTTACAGAAAACTTCTAACGTAGGTATTCTTGTTTTCTATGTTGAGTTTGCAGATAAGGAGACTGAGGTATATAATTACCCAAAGTCATATGGCTAGTCAATATCAGTCTGTTTTGTTTTTGGTTTTTGTGGTTTTCTTTCTTTCTTTCTTTCTTTCTTTTTATTTTTGAGACGGGGTGTTGCTCTATCACCCAGGCTGAAGTACAACGCATGAGCATGGTTCACTGCAGCCTCAACCTCCTGGGCTCAAGTGATCCTCCCATCTCAGCCTCCCAAGTTGCTGGGACTACAGGCGTGTGCCACCACACCTGGCTGATTTTTGTATTTTTTTTTCAGTAGAGATAGAGTTTTGCTAAGGCTGGTCTTGAACTTCTTGTCTCAAGCATCTGCCCACCTCAGCCTCCTTAAGTGCTGGGATTACAGACATGAGCCACCACGTCTGGCAGAGTCTGGTTTTAAATGCAAAAATTTTCACCTCAAAGTCCAAACTCTTGAGTGCTTAATGTTTTACTGCCCTGAATAAAGCTGCTGGGAAGAACACACACACACACCCACACACGCACACCACACACCCCAAATCCTTAACACCATTAAAAAAACTCACATCCCCTTGCTTGTATGACCTAAACACGAGTCAATTCTCATCCACAGGTTCCAAGCCCAATCTCTATGCACTCTGTTCAGGAACTTCCCCTCGCCTCTTAACCCCTACGAAACTCGGTGGGGTTCAATGGCAACTGAACAACCCTGGCCAGTGCACCTGCGCTTCAGTGGCCACACGTGCAGCTACAGCTAAGCGACCACTAGGTGGCACTACATGAAAATGTATATCACTTCCTGCCCCACAGACCCTTTCCACGCAGAGCTATGCTCTGGAATAAAAAAACCCAGATTAGAAAGTAAATAAAAGAAACAACATATATAAAATGGCAAATAAATATAATTACAAAATAATAAATATTATACATCTGTAATTGAAAACAAATTAAACAGAATCTTATTTTCACATCTTTTCTTCTCTAAGACCTCAAAGCATTGTGAGATGCTAGATCGTTTACTTTCTGTTTTAACCTTTGTTGGATAGTTGATTTGTCAGCTATTTGTTAACATATCTCTGTGTGGACTCAAATCAGTCTACAGATGATTCTACTTTAAAAATTAAAAGAGAAAAAAATAAGAGTGAGCTGATAAGCCAGGGAAACAGGCTTGAGTAGGAAGTGACCACAGAGAACCTTCAACCTTGGGATGGGACTGGAGAGGGGAGGACCCCAAGGGGCTGAGAGACTCCGGTCCTGTAGTGGGATGGGTCTGTGGGCTGAGTATTCATAAGTCCCAAGAGGACAGGTAGCAACAATGGAAGAAATTGCCAGATGCTCAATATTTCCCCCAAGTCAGGCCTCTGCTAATTGCTTTACATAGATTAGCTTGCCTGATCCTCACCAACCCCCCATGAGGTAGATTCTACCATTACCTTATCTGTTGTACAGATGAGGAAACTAGGACCATGTTTCTTTTATTTTCTTATTTTTTTAAATATAGAGATGAGGTCTCATTATGCTGTTTAGGGCGGTCTTCAACTCCTGGCCAGAAGCAATCCTCCTGCCCTCAGCCTCCCAAAATGTTGGGATTACAGGTGTGAGCACTGTACCCGGCCCAGGAAACTAGGGGCAGAATGGCTGTCACAAGGTCCAAGTCAGACAATCAGCATGTGGTGATCCCTGGGTTGAAACCAGGTAATTCGGTTCCAGAATCCTGGCTCACAGCCCTGTGCTAGACTGTCGTCCTATGCTCTCTTTTTTTCTCCTGCACATTCTAACTTTCTTAAGTTGCTGAAAATTGTAGCTACCAAAATTTAGGTGGTGTGTTCTCTCTCCTCATGATCCCATAAATATACTTAAAGCTTATCACTAGACGAAGACCCCCAGGAGACCCTCACTTCTTTATTCGCTCTGCCCAGCTCACAGAATCACCACCCACTTCTCAACAGCCCCCCGCCCCCGCCTCCCCACACCTCCAGACAGCTTCCTTCCCAGCATGCTAATGCTTAGCTGTTCTTCATTGTTGTTCTATCTGCAGCTGGTCTGTTCTCCCACTTCTCATAATGGACTTCTGAATACCTCAAAGTACCTGGTCTAGAAACCTACAAATACTAGGCAGACAAAAGACCACCCGATTTACCTCAACTCCAGACAGTAGTTACTACAAATGCGACAAAAGAGAAGGTAAACTGTTGTACAACTCACAACCACTAGGAGTGTCTTACCTCTCCGAGGCTCTGTCGCTCCTGTTTGTCATCATAGCCCGAAGTGTAGAAAGGCTCATAGGTAATAAGATCTGGACGTTCAATGTCATAAATTGCCTTGACCTTGGGAATGGCCGCTAAGTCCTTGTAATCCAGGATCTCATTGTCTACTTTTGCCTGGGAAAGTTAACCAGAAAGAACAATTACTTTGTAGTCTCATTGCTTTGGGAAACTGTTGTTAGCGCATTTCCTGTTGTTTAAAAAGTGCAGGCCTTAAAATAAACAAAAACCAAAACATCTTGCCTAGCACAGTCATACTCTTTAGAAATTGCTGTTTATACCATATATTAGTCGTGGTTTATTTTTAAGTCACTGAACACTTAGGAAAAAAAAATCTGTGTAGAATTCATGAAATAGATAAATGTGCAAACATTAAGGATAATTTCCTGAATTTATGACAGGGAAGGAAAAAGCTCAAACAGATGGTCCAATAATCCTCTCAGATGGCTAAAACCAAAAACTACATAATTAATACGCTAAATATTTAAATATCTTTGTGGCAGAATTTAAGAACATTCAGTATCAGCATTATAAAATACAGAATTAATCCCCAAATATCTATATGCAATTTAGGTGCAAGAATTTTTTAAGTCCTGCAACATAGTAAGACGTTTTACAGGTCATCCGGTCACTCTGTTGATGGTCACATGCAAATGTAATTACCTAAAAGGAAACGATTTTTGCTCTACAAAAATGAAAAGCCGATCTCAGAACAAAATCAGAAATCACTTTGAATTAGTTTTTGTTTTCTATTAGAATCCACTAATTTACCTGTCCCGGAAATGTCACTTCCAGAAGTAGATACTTACATAGATAGTATGACCTGGTGAGCCAGGAATACTGGAGCCTGGTCTAGAATAAATACTTTCCGAGGATGTCCTGGTAGGCTGTAAAATAAAGAGTGACTTGTAAGATTTCGGACCCTGGCTTCAAAATCAAGACTGCCCTGGGCCCTTAAGCTTTACTAAAAACTAAGCTAGTGAAAAAAGGAAACATTTATCACCTTTTTGGATAAGGTAAAATACAACCTAGAAGGAAAGGTAAATGCAAACTAGTTGTGTGATCAGTTTTGAAAAGGCACAGGGAGGCCTTTCTCTGGCCCTTCCTGCTCCTTGTCCCCTATGAGAACTTCTGGTTTAGCTTTGAGCACACCTCAAAGCTGCCCATTTCTCTCCCTTGCTACTGCCACAGTCCCAGGCCCAGTCACCACCTCCATTCATCCAGATTATTGCAGTGGCCTCCCTGTGTGTTTTCTGCCCTCTCCCTTCCCTTCTTCAAATCCACCTGGCAGGCGATGGCTAGAGAGACCTTTAAAGAACATCATTTGGATGGTCACTACTCTGCTTTTGTCTCCAGCATTGATATGGTTTGGCTGTGTCCCCACCCAAATCTCACCTTGAATTGTAATAATCCCCAAGTGTCAAGGGCAGGGCCAGGTGGAGACAATTGAATCATGGGACCGGTTTCTCCCATACTGTTCTTGTGATAGTGAATAAATGTCGCAAGACTGATGGTTTTAGACGCGAGAGTTCCCCTGCACAAGCTCTCTTGCCTGCCACCATGTAAGACATGTCTGCTCCTCCTTCGGCTTCTGCCATGATTATAAGGCCTCCCCAGCCATGTGGAGCTGTGAGTCCATTAAATCTCTTTCCTTTATAAATTACCCAGTCTCGGGTATGTCTTTACCAGCAATGTGAGAACAGACTAACATAAGGATCCATTCAGAATAAAATCACAAAACCAGGGCCTCAGGATGGCATCCCTGCCTTCCCCTCCTACCTCGTCTCTTACCTGTCTTCACTCATAGAACACGGTGCACAAGGCTGCCTCGGAGTTCTTAATCTCACTCACTGCTCCCTCTGCCTGAAATGCCCTAGTTCCCAGTTTTCCTTGGACGATTCTATTCCTTCAGTCTTGGCTTAAATATCACCTCCTCAGAGAGGCTCTCCTTGATTCATTCCAGAGTTGATTCCCCTTGTTGTTTTCTCTCCTAGTATCAGTCTTACTTTTTTCCTTCATGAATAAAATGTGTAATGATATATTTATCAGTTTTCTTGCATCAAGTCTGTCTCTCTCATTAACTTTATTCATGCTCTCTGCCCTCACAGAGTTTATTCACTTTTTAACCACTGTCTATACCCAGTGCTTTCTTCAGATACATAGAAGGCACAAATCCTAGTTGAGGGAAGGAACTAGAATTTATTATTTGTAAACAAATACTCAGCTTGCAGACACCTGACTTATGTTAATTACATGATTTGAGCCTAACTACCCAGAGACTCGCTGTGGTAAGGCTGGTGGGTCAGCCTTTGGGGAGGATGAAAGAAACTGGACCTCATAATATATACTGGAAGAACGTGGAGAGCGAGAGGTGGTTATGTGAGCAGGAAGGAAACTTATCAAGTAGGATCAGCGGCCTCCTGCTTCTGTTTAACATAGTCTGGAGAACTCTGCAGAGAAAACTCGAGGCCTCATTATGGGACACTTCCTTGCCTTGGTTGCAGCTATTTCCTGGAGAGGATAATTTATAGTTCTGCAATAGGAATAAGACCTTTCCTTCTCAGTGCTGTGTCTATTGATGCCCAACACCTTGAATATGGGCATTACTGCGCCAAAGAAACTCCTTCAGACAAGGGTGTTGCCTCACTATGTTGCTCACAGTTGAAACAGTGAAGGCAAACATATCTGGCCCGTTCAGGTCAGGCAGTGATTAGACTCATCGCTGGAGGACTGTGATCCGTCTTTTTTCTGCCAATGCCCCTGGTATCTTTGAGATAAGCGGAAGTGGGTGGGAGAAATCACACCACACCCAGGTGGAGGTGCGCCAGGTACATCACTTCTGGGCTTCTTCCCAGGACCTGCCATGCACGAGCGCTTTCCTGCTGGAGTTATACCAATCAAAGGCATATCTCAATATGAGAAAACTCTACTTCTTTGAGTATGCTGAAAAAGGGACTCACATAACACTACTCAAGAAATGTGTAATCTCTAGATCCATTTCCTAATCAAAATATAGAAATGACCCAATCAAAATGCACCCCTCCTTTACAAGGACATGCTACCCCCTTGAAAAAGCGGGACCTGTATCGATCTCTGTGGGATATTAACCACAGGTAGTCCTTCAGCTTCAAGTGGCCAGGATCTCACATTTGTCAAACTCAATGTCAAAATGAAACCTCTTAAGTAGCAACCCAAGAATATCAATGGCAGCGAATGTCAACTGCCCACTTTATGTGTCAGCCCTGTGCTCAGCACCTCTCAGGCTTAATCTCATGTAATAATCTCAGTAATTTTAGGAGGTAGCTTCCATTATTATTCCTAGTTTACAGATAAGGAAAAAACATCAGTGCTCCAAGTCACACAGGTAGGAAAGGGATGAAGAGTCAGGATTTGAACTCAGATGCTCTAGGTCCACAGTCCAAGCATTTAAGGCCTGCACTAAAATGTTGCCTGTATTGTAGGGCAGGTGTGATCATTCATTTCCCATCAACGTAACTATGGAATGAAACGAATAGAGAAATATTGAGATCAAGTAGCAGAAAAGCACTCCTGCTAACAGAAAGTATTTTTATTGTGCTAGCTCTGTAAGAACACTGCAACAGCTCTCTGGGCTGGGGTGGGGAGAGGGTGTGTGGCAGGAGCATCAGATGTCTTCAGTTACTGGGGTTGCTATGACAAAGGCCTGTTTTCATTAACAAGCAACCAGGACATTGTGGGAACAGCCAAAGTGTACACTGGGGCTTTGGGGTCACTTGTACGTTACTCATCCTTATTTTTGCCAAGTGTGGGGCAAGGATACTTTCAGCCTTTGCTGTAATGATGCACCTGGCGATGGCTCTAAATGGTTTTATTTGCTCTTGTACTGCATGTGCTGTTAGAAACAGAGCTGAAGAACAACACAGGCACACGTAGGGAAGGGTCTTTAACACTGCCTTCCGGGGATGAAGAACTTCATGGACAGAAAAGGCGGTTCTCTTGGCAGAACAAGCTTATTTCAGATTAGTTTCTCTCTCCCTTCCTTCTTGACTCGATTAGAGGATCCTGTGAGTTATGCAGGCTTTCTTGGAGTGACTTACCTTTTTAATTTACACTATTAATATTGTTGAGCTAAAGATTTTTTAAGTTATTCAACAATTTGAATTTTTTCAAGTCCCATTTGGTTTTTAAAAGTTTTCAGATCCACTGGGAGGTGAGGCGGGTAGATTACCTGAGGTCAGGAGTTCGAGACCCAGCTTGACCAACATGGTGAAACCCCATCTCTACTAAAAATACAAAATTAGCCAGGCATGGTAGCACATGCCTGTAATCCCAGCTATTCAGGAGGCTGAGGCAGGAGAATCACTTGAACCCAGGAGGTAGGGGCTGCAGTGAGCTGAGATTGTGTCATTGCACTCCAGCCTGGGCAATAAGAGCACAATTCCATCTCAAAAAAAAAAAAAGTTTTCAGATCCAAATCACCTCCAATATGCATATACTCATCCCCAAGTTCTCTGATTCAGAAATAAATATTTTAGGTTTTAATAGTCAAGCAGTTTTCAAAGTCAGGTGAACTGGTCATCAAATTTTCTGACTTTCTGGCTTGCCTTAGAGCCATCACTCTACGACTTGCGTCTTCAAACTGCTTACTGCTGAGAAATGCTCTGATATATCTTGGTGATATGGTTCGGGGCTGTGTCCCCACCCAAATCTCATCTTGATTTGTAATCTCCATGTGTCAAGGGAGAGAACTGATTGGATTATAGGGGTGGTTTCCCCCATGCTGTTCTGGTGATAGTTAAGAGAATTCTCACAAGATTTGGTGGTTTTATAAATGGTAGTTTTTACTGCACTCACATATTCTGTCTTTCCTGCCGCCACGGGAAGAAGGTCTTTGCTTCCCTTTTGCTTTTTGCCATAATCGTAAGTTTCCTGAAGCCTCCCCAGCCACACAGAACTGTGAGCCAATTAAACCTCTTTTCTGTATAAATTACCCCATATTGGGTAGTTCTTTATAGCGCTGTGAGAATGGACTAACACACTTGGAGATTAGGAAAGTGCTTTTTCTTTCACTGAATTTACCATTGCTTGTTTTTGCTTCATTCTGACCTCCTAAGTTTATGGTACCCCATGCTGGGGGGTATACTTCCATGGGCATCTTGTTTACGAGTTGAGTTGTATTCTTGCTGCCTATTTTTTACAATAGTCCTATTCTGTTTTCCTGTCTATGTTGAAATGATGGGATAAAACACATTTATGTATTTTATGTGATAGAATGGGCTTAAAAGGCTGGCTTTGGTGCTAAATAACAGTTCAGATCTGGTCTCTACTAGTTGTTTGATGTTACATGAGTTTTTCTTTTCCTTTCTTTTAACTTTCTTGAGCTTCAACTTCTTCATTTATAGAATGGAGCAAAGTGTACCAGCATAACTATGTCATAGGGTTAAATGAGAGAATATATATAAGTTCCAAGCACCTTGTAGGCACATGGCAAGTAGTCAACATTTTCCAGACACTTGGATTTGGACTAGGTTTCTTAGGCAGTTAATCTCAAATAATGCCTCTGTTTTGCTCTTCATGAATATTCCTTTCATGTGTGAGCTGCACAGAACGAGGCTTCCCCAGCGTTCTCTACAGCTATCGCACTTGGACTCCTTCCCTTCAGAACTCAGATATGTTAAGAAATTCATCACAGTATATAGGGCAGCAATCCTGCCAGGAGCTGACAGATACCCTTCCCCTCCTTGAGAACCCTGTGAAGTGATTCCAAATGCTCTTGGAGACAGTGACTGTGTCTCAACTTTAGTAATTAATGCCCTTCCCATGACGATGACAATGACCTTGTACAGTCTGTCTTATCTGCCAGGACAGTTCCTGGTTTGCTGCCTACTGAACTATGCTCAAGGCTTAA